TCGATCTAATTTTTTCTGAGAGCATTCCTGAGGTCTGACGAGTGGCTAGAAATGTTCTCCTGTTCATTCTACATCTAACCATCTATGTGTCGATGGAATCCAGGTTTTCACTCAGTATTTGCATTTTGTTCTGAAAACTAACGTTACCGCAAGATGCAACATAGTCGATAACCTATGTTTTCATGTATTTTCAACGGTCCGGGCCTGAAAGACCAATAAGTCCTACTGCTTCGGAGAAAATCTTCAATGTTCCCGGGCTGAGCAAAATGAAAATTTTGCTTAGATCCCATTTTGGACTATCCATCTATGGAAAAGAATCAATAGATTCCTATATGAATTTCGGAAAATCAAAGCTAGTTTTCCAAAGAGTCTCTGGAAAAGCGGCTTCGAAATTTTTTCCAAAATCGTTTTGGCTTGTAGAAAGATGGTCTCAAGTCTAGGCTATCCAGGAACACCGTAAGTATCTATTTTTATTTGATGTTGATTTATTCAAAAAATGTCTGAGTCCACTGAGTTTTTGGACAGACAATAGTAAGTTACTTTCAACTTTATGCACTTAGGAAAAAGGACCATCCGTTGAAATAATGATGCAGACAGCATTTTTGCTCCTATTAATGTGAGTAAATATTAAATGCTTTTTATCAGGTGTATCTGACTAAAAAATTGCTGTTTCATCTGCAATATTTTAGAACGTTTAACCTAGCAATACTGGGTATGTATTCTGTGTATTCCACATAATTTTTTATGCTTTCTCGATTTATTTCATCTCAAACAGTGCCATTAGAAGCGGCTGTTTGTTTATCACCTGAAATTTTATGTAATCCGTTAACAGTTGATGGTGAATGCTCATCAAATAGCAATTGTAAATGTTTGTCGACGACAACTCGCTGGGGTATATGTGCTGCTGAGTGCATTTCATGCTCAGCGCTTACGCGTTGTCAAGAAGATAATGTGACCTGCCTCATGGCAAACACGGTTTGTGTGATTGACAGTCGATGTGGTAATCAGCCATTGTGTTATCCGTTAGAATTGACCAGCCCGAATATTTGTCCACCGGTGGATATGAATACTAAGATAACAGCAAGTATGTTTCTTGTTCATAAATCGCCAACTAAAATATCGGTTCTAAAATGCATCTGTTTCAAAAAATTGATTCTGGTAGTATTATCGATTCACTGATTTGCTGTCTAAATTTAATTGACTATTTAAATGATATACACTTCCCATGTAAAAATTTTTGTTGCGTGGTCATGCAAAAAAAAAGTGTAAAAACGCAAAAATGGTTACGAATGTGAGCTTCAGCAAAATTTTGCATATTCTTCTAGAACAAAATATTTACAAAATTCTGTATTACTATCCATTTCAAAAGAGAATGGACTCGGTTGCTTTTTGAATAACTCAGGAATGTTACTAGCTAGCGAGTTCGGGTCTTCGCCGTCAAATTGAAGATATCTGGGGCCATCCAGGCATGTAGTAATCATCTGGCTTGCCAAGATCTTTGAGGATTTCTCGAAGGTCTCTGGGAAACCACCCTCGCGCGAGTTAGAAATTTTGATTCTTCTGAATGGATATGATATGCCATACTGTGCTCTACAAAACTACGCAGGGCTGAGCTCGCTAGCTTGTT